GAGGTCACCAACCTCCACCAGATGATCTGCTTGATCTTTTTCAGACCAAAAAAAAAAAAAAAAGAAAAAAGAAAGAAAAAGAAAAGGGAAAAGAAAAAGAAAAAAAAGCTTGGATTCCTGACAGAAATCTGAGTGCTCCAAGCTGGAAGCAGTAGGCTCGGTCACTCACAGCCCACCCACCTACAGATCAAGATGGACTGGAACAACCTCCTCCATAAGCCAGAAAAGTGAAGGGGCTTGGGGGGTGGGAGGAAGAGTTTCATATTTCATCTACCACTTTTAATAGAAACCAGAACGTGGTGGGGGGTTGAAAGGAAAATGGTAAATCCCTGGAGATCCCGAGTGTTGGCCTTGCAAGTCAAAACTGTCAATCACACCGTGTGCCCTCCAACTCTACTTTGTGACGGGGAGCGAGGAAAGGAGGAAGGGACTGGCACGTTCAGCCACTAGGTGTTACTGTTGCTCCACGGACTGGGATCAGAGCAACCGCTCTGGAATAAGCAAAACATCCATCAGAGACATCATCTGCAGCTGGACCTGAAGATTTAAACCATAGGAGCTAAATCCTACTTCAGGATTTGCATATTGTGACTCACAAATCAGGGAATTTTGGTGTCTTTTGGTGGTCATGGAGGCAGGGTTTTGTCTATATGCCACTGCATGAATGGAGCAAGTTAAATTAATCCCTTGGGAACTTCCACTGACTTTGATGAAGGGTCATTGGGAGAATGGGCTGCTTAAGTTGGCACTGAGTTCATGGCCACTGGTCAGGAGAACGCATTGGCCACTAAGTTGTCTGCCTGAGTTGTCTGCCCCCCCCGCCTCCTCTATGCCTGGCCAGAACTCACATTTAGAGGCATTTTAATTAATCTGGATCTCCTGTCAGCTGGTGGGCTGCTCAGACAAGTAATTTAACCTTCCTCTGCTTTGTTTCTCCATCTATAAAATGGAAATAAAGATCCTCATCTCCTCTGGGAAGGACTTTGAGGCCACAGATTGATCAGAGTTGTAGTCCTTGACAATGTGTTGGCATGAGCCAAGCAACGAGGTTGTGCATGAGCTTTTCCTATTTATTTCAGAATAAGTTTCCTGAGAGACACTGAACTGAGTGTTACCCTGCAGACTCAAGACAAAGAGCAGGGCTCCACTGCACCCCTGTCAAAGCAACTTAATGTCCTGTTTCCATTTTCTCCTTTTTCATAGCCCTACCAAAACTTTTTTCCAGAGAGCTGCCACACTTCATCCAAACCATCATTTACTTAATCAACTACACTTCGAGCCCTGGAGACATATCCCTGCCCTGAGCTTCCTAAGCAACAAGCCTTGAGATTGCAATATTGATTTTCTCCTTCATTTTTAATAACGGGCTACAGTGCTCAAAAATAGGTGTTCCTTCCTCTCAATTCCTCTGTTCTAGGCCTTGCCCCCAGATGAACGAGTATAAATAAGTGGAGGATGTAGTGCAGGTCCCTGCCTGCACCCACTGAAGAGCTGTTTCTGCACACACACAATAAATGTCATGCAACAAACAGCAACCAGGCAGAGCCTCCCCTCTCATGGTGAGCTGTGCCATGTGGTTGTACTTCTAACCAAGGCAGCATTTTCACACACAACTCCAGTGCTCTAGGGTATTTTGGGGTTTTTTTTCCAAAGTTTGGAAACATTGTTACAGGACATTAAACAAAGTACCAGCACTGAGCCACAAAAAGCTTATGAAAGATTTTTATTTTTTTTTTAGTTGTTTTCATAGGAAAAATTTTATATGCCACATTAAATGAAATACAATGCAAAATAGTGTTCTCTGAAAGACTGAATGGTTTGCAAGTGCTCAACTATTATCTGAAAGGTGACTGGCACTACATTTTACTGCTGCTTCCAGTAAAACCTGCAGACCTCTAACTTGGAGGCAAAGTCCTCTGATCTGCAATTCAGGCAAAAAGCATCACATGCCCTGGTACAGCAATTGCTGTGTCTCCTCACTCGAGTTCTCACTGGCATTTCTAGAGTGAAGAACACTTTTGTTGAAATATTATTGATACCTTGCAGTTGCTTTTGGCTTTTGAAGGAAGGAGGAGGATCTGCCCACAGAGAATCACGTGGAGATGATAATTTTTGTTTGCTACCAAAACATTATGGTGGAAAACCAGCCAGCTAATAAATGCAAGACCTAAAGACATTACCAGCATTGTCTGGAAGTAGTTCACTTACTGCTGGAGTTTTCTCACTGCTGTAGTCTGACAAAGAGTTTTAAATAAGAGAAGCAAAGTGATTCATACACATGTGCTCTCAGCAAACAATACACCAGCAACTAACATAACTTTACCCATATGCCTAAGGCAGATCTTGATAATATCAAGTGTACTTGACTTAGATGCCTTTGAAAACGTCACCCTAAGTGGCTTGAAAGCTTAATTCCCACTTTCTAAAGTGACTTCAAGCTCTAAATCACATGGATAAATCCCAAAATTGCAGCCTTAGTTAGCTGTGCTCTCCTTACTCTTCAGTGGCTAATATAAACACACAAAGACCCTATCTGACACTTCATCTAAAAATTAATCCTAATTGCTTTCTGGGCAGCTGCACAAACAGCCAGTTTTACCCAGTTTCAGTTACCTCTTAGTCTTTTTTTTCCCCTCTTCTGTGCTGCTGTCCACAATAGTTCCCTTCATAACACATTTCTCTTCAAGTGCTAATGGCAGCTAATACCATGTGCCAGCTAATGTGAGAGGCTGTCCTGGTTCTTCTCTCTGGGCCACCCTTCCTGTCTTTCCTTTGCAAGTTGTGGGTCTGAAACGTGGAAAACAACAGAGCTGCAGAAAGGATTAATAGGAGTTTTCCCAGTTCATTGTGAATTTGGTCCTGTATCACACATGGACCTTCACAAGCAGAAAACACACTTCCAATCTGCTACAGCAGAATCAAATTCAGTGCTAGTTGCAACTAGTGTTTTTTCATTGTCTTTGTCCCACCAACCTGAAAACAGAGGGTTTTCTGAAGTTTAAAATACTGTGTGAATGGTGAGGTGCCACTGCCACACTGAACCATCCTAAACTATCCCAATGTAAGGAGTGAAACAACAAATGAGTCTCCAGTGTGATAGAGAAGATTGTACCCCCTCAGTGAGAGCAGGGCAATTCTGGTTCACATTTATTAGCAGTACTAATAATAAACATTTACATTGTGGTAGTGCCTAGAGGCCCTATTTGAAAGCTTGTCTAAAAGTGCTATTGTACCTGGGCACTAAACAGCTCTGAGGCGGCACATCTGTCTGCCAGATGTTTTATTTTCTTAGAAGCTGCAATTTAATAAAGCCTCTTGCTTCCCCTAACGAGCCTTAATAAGAATCTCCAGGAGCTTGGCTTCATTGTCCTTTCAAGGAGAATCTGCAGGTAAAATTGCAATGAAACAAGGCAAGGATGGGATGAGTGAGGGACACCAGGACACACAGGAGCACCGTGTGAGTTTTAGGTGTGTTTAGTATCTGGCTCTTGCTTTCCAGAGGCCAGAGGGACCAAGGGGACACCTCTCCCCAAAACGGTGCAGGCAGAAGGATTCGCTGCCACACAATAATGGACACAAAAGCTGGGGGTCCCCTCAGGGCTCACTGCTTTGGATTTACAGGCGCTACAAACCCACTGTGGGCGGCCAGCAGGTTTGGGCTTGGTGGTCCCTATTGCATCTTTCCTTGAAAGGTTGCAGGGGAATAGTGGAGGTTTATCTGCTCATGGCTCAAAGTTTGGTACCTACGGGCAGAAAAATGGTCTGAGAGGGACCTTCCACGTTCTCCTCCTCCTGCCCTCAGAGTGTTGAGCTGTCCCTCCGCTCCTCAGTGCTCAGGAATCGCACAGCTGGAGGGAGCCCCGTGCGGGAATCTTGTCCCTTTGTGAAAGCAGCCAGCAGGACTTCACCCTTCTCCCCGCTGGTCACCCCGTGTTCCCCTGGACCAGATCAGCGTGCGGAGTGTAAAGGATCCCTTCACCCTTTCGCTGTGAGACCTACTTACTCCGGCAGACGGATCCGCGGGCGGAGCGGGGCGGGGGCACCGTGGGGACACTGCGGGGTTGGACTGCTGGCGCTGCGGGGGCACAGCGGGAACGTTCTGGGAACACTGTGGGGGCACGAAGAGGACGAAGCGAGGACACAACGCGTGTCTGGGGACACAGGGTCAGTGGGGGCACTGAGGGGGCACTGAGGGGACACTGTGGGGACACTGTGGGGACACTGTGGGGACGCGGCGCGGACGTCGCGGGTCTGAGGAGCCGCCCCCTCAACGGAGCCGCCCCCTCACGGCGGCCGCGAGTCACTCGCGCGCCCCGCCCCCGCCCCGCCCCGCCGCCGTCACGTACGGCGGCAGCGCCAATCACCGCCCGCCTCCCTCCCGCGCGGACGCGTTGCGGCAGCGCTGCGGCGGGGGGCCGTGCCCCCCCCCTCCGCCATGTGAGGGCGAAGGTGCTGCTGGTGGGGCCGCGAGAGGTGAGCGGGACCCCCGACAGGGACCCCCCGATAGAGTCCCCTCGGCAGAGACCCCCCGAAAGGGACCCTCGGCAGAGACCCCCCGAGAGAGTCCCCTCGACAGGGACCCCCCGAGCCCCGCGGGAGCCCTGCGGCAGGAGGGAGGGAGAAGGGCCCGGGGCTGAGCGGGAGGGGCAGCGTTTGGGGGCTCGGGTGGGCACTGTGGCTGTGGCGCGTTCAATTCCTGCCGGGTGTCTTTCGGCCAGTCTGGGAAGTCGGTGCTGGCGAACTTCGTGTCGGAGAGCACGGAAGGGATCGGGAGCTACAGCCCGACGCAGGGGGTGAGGTGAGCGAGACCCCCGAGCTCTGCGTGCCGACCCCGAGCTCTGCTGTGCTGCTGCACAGGAGCGTGTTTCACCGTGTATCCATCACTTCCCGCAGGATCCTGGAGTATGAGAAGCCAAACCTGAATGGGAACAGCAAGGGAGCTGGGTGTCGATTCGAGCTGTGGGATTGCAGTGGTGACCAAAAGTAAGCCACGTCCTTGGTACTTAACCCCTGATATTTATGTTTACACAGGTTATTCAGACCTCAGGCCTAAAACCAGTGATCTGTTTGAGACGAGGAATATTCCTGACTCTTTAGCCCAATATATCCTTCTATAGCTTCTGCTGTAAAGCATCTGACATTAGGTACTCTCTGCCATGATCACAGCTGAACTTTGTTTTGCATAATATATGCAAAATATTTACTGAATATACCAGTAAAGTCCACAGCTCCTGGAATGGAATTACAGGTAAAGGAGACAGAGGCCCACTTGTAATGGCCTTTATCTCCTTGAAGCTGTTATGTGAGTGAACTTCAAACAGTGTATGTATATGATTGAGCCCTAAATTTCCAAAAGATACAATTGAGAAAGGGACAGATCCATTTTTAGGGAAAAAGGTGAAATAAGCACTTGACCAAATAGCAGATTGTCAGCAAACCATGGGACCAAGTAGCATAGTAGGTAAGACAAAGTAGTTGGAATATATAGATCACTGGCAAGATTACTGATCTTATAATTAAAAAAAGCCACACTTAGATGTCTTTTTGAAGAGGGAAGAAGAAAACTTGAGGGTGTTTGGGTGCATGTTTCTGTTGTCCAGCTGTCAATCTTGCCATGTGCTGTTCTTTCAAGGTTTGAAACGTGCTGGCCAGCTCTGATGAAGGACTCTCATGGGGTAATAATAATCTTCAACCCTGAGCTGCCCAGTCACCTGAAAGAAATTGAGATGTGGTACTCCTGCTTCGTGCAGCAGCAGCCACTGCTCGACAGTCAGTGTCTCCTGGTGGCACATCACAAGCCAGGCAGTGCAGAGGACACAGAAAACCTGTCCCTGGGTAAGGAGATGGAAAACTCCACCTGTAACTCGGAGCTTTTCACTGATCTCTGTGTCTTTAAAATTGTTCATAACTTATGGCTTACATTTCTCATTTGAATCTGCCAATTAAAGAACACTCTGCAACACCAGAAATAATTGATCTCAAGGATATTCCTGTTTCACAAAAGGGAAAGTAAAGGCAAGCAAAGTTTTGAGTGGCTTCTCTAAAGTCACACAGTAACTTTGCAGCTGAGCCAGGAATTAGAACTCCTGCCATATTTCCTCATCAGTAGTAGTTTGGTTCTTCCATTGGATGGTTTTTTGTTAACTTTTGAGGCCATTTAAGTCTGCATTCTATCAATCAAAAGAACAGGAGCCCTTTGAAATAAGAGGCTAATGATCTCCCTTTTAAAATCAGTGCCTTATATACTGCAAAATTATTTGTGGCTGTTTATATCAGTGAAAACACACGCTCTGGGCAACCTGTTCCAGTGTTCAAACAACTACATATTTGTTATAAGTATTAATATATTAATACATATTTAATATAACTGTATGATTCTGTGACTTTGAAGTAATCAAAAAATGTCACATCACTTCAGCAGTAAAACTGTAGTTTGGTGCTGAATTGTTTGATTCTGTCTAACTGAATATGACTCCAAAACCAGACTTTAAGCTTTAATAATACTGTTTGAAGAATTTAATTTAGCATTAAGCTGGATTTCTTTGTAAAGCTGACAAGCTCTGCTGCATTTCTTCTTCATGTTTTGTTTGGGGTATCAAACATTGGGTACTACTGAATTCCAGCTGACTCCAGCATGAGCTGTCCCATGACTTCGTGACTATTTCTTTTTTAAAAGAAATATACTTAATTGTTTTTTATTTACTTTCAAAGCTTACCCACTGAACAAACTAAAACTAATACATTCCAACTTGGAGGAAGATCCTGAAGATGTTCGGATGGAATTCATGAAATACTTCAGAAGCATTATCACCATAATGAATGAGAGCAGAGAGAGGGAAGAAATGTCAATTATCTCATAACATTAAAAAAAGGTACTGAACAGGGAAGAAAAAATTATAGTTTCCCCCTTGTAAGCCTGTGAATGGGTCCTCACAAGGAGAATTTGCCAGCCTATAAACACTTCAGCCTGGAAAGAAGTGCTGACATCAGGTGAGCTGTGGTGCCAAGGAGAGGGCTGCACATCCAGCAATCTGGGTAACTTTACACCTGCACTTTGGCATCAGAAGTACAGGAAGGGATTTTTTAATATGTTAGTGAGGACCAAAAGAGAAAGGTTTGGGTCATCCCTCACAGAAGCCCTTTGTGCAGAGGGGTCAGGGAATGAGGCCTGACAGAACAGGAGATTTGTGGAGTTGGGCTGAAGCATCTGAGTAAAGGGCTCATGTTAGCTGGGTTCCTGGGCAAGTTATGCCCTTGGAAGTCAGTACACACTGACTGGAATAGAGATCTGAGAGTAGTTGTGGTGTGGAATCCACGTTGTTTTATGTTCTTCCTGCCCAGCCGTTGCCTTGGCCTGACAGAGCTGGTTGCAGTCCTTCTCAGGACTAGGTTTTTCTTCTATTCCAACAAAATACACATGTTGTGAGGACAATGTTTAGGTCCCTCTGGGAGGAAAAGAATTGAAATCTCAGTGTAGTGCAATATTTTGACCTATGTCAGGAGCTCCAACAGAGAAAAAAATAGTTCTGCTTTCTCAAAGGAGGAAAAGCTGTTTCGAAACTTTTATTACTGTTCCCTGTTGCATTAAAATAAGTGGTTTCATAGATAATTTACTTTGACTTGTTTGGTTTGCACTCATCCCTGTTATTAGTGTGTTTTGCTGTGGAAGACATTTTTTGTAACACTCATTACTAAGGCAATAAAAACATTTTTAAAATGTTCTGTTTGCAAAGGGAAAGTTAATTATAGTTTTGTGAGACTCTTAACAACTTGCTTAATTTTTAGTAAGGAAAACAAGAGATAAACATTTCACCCTACTTAGGTCTAACAAGAGACATTTACAAAAACTTGTCACCAACCCAAACAGCCAAAGAGTAAACAGCCTTTACACAAAGTATGTTATAAACCAGGAAGTACCAGATGTATTTTAGTTCCAGACAACAGGATTGAGAGCTTCTTGGGTTTTCTTCCACGTTAATTAATCTATTTTTATTATTTTCATAGCTCTTTTCTGAGTGATGAGTGGCCTGTCCTTATGCAATGGCAGGGGAGGTGAAAAATTAAAAGATCTTAGAACAGCTCCAGGTCATCAAACTCCTGGCTACAAATAACACTCTGAACCATACTGAGCTGGGCTCCAGTTTAGAACTGCCCTAAACTGCTCCTCTGGTTTGCTCAGGTGGGCACTGGGTGTGTGAAGTTGTGTGCACACACAAATAACCTGCACTCTTCTGCTTTTTGGGGGCTTGGTGTCCTCACCAAATCCACCCCAGCTCCTTTCCATTGCCTGCTGGCTCCTGCTCTGCCATTAAAGCTGAAACCTCCCCTTGGTTCTGGGAGGCAAAGAGGGAGGTGGTACTGAAGGAAAACATCAGTGAGAGGAAGGACACCAGGAAAGAAAAAAAGCAAAATAAGCAGTGAAGAGATGAAAAGAAAAGGTTGGAGGCAAATAGTGGGAGGTTGGCATTTCAACATCCACGTTTTATTTATATGACTTTGGAACCATCAGGCTTTATGTGCTTGCAATCAGTGTCATAGGGTGGTCTGCTGGAGGCAGTTATTGGAAAATTCACAATCTAACTAAAGAACAGTTTTTTACATGCTGCCTTAGATTACTTTTTCCTTGTTGCCAGCTGTGTGGTGCTGGAGCCAATTTTTAAAATATATTGCCTTAATAAATTCAGTTTTTCCCAACAGCAACATTGTGATACACACTGGTAAAAGACTGGTGTGAAACCCAGCAAATATTTTATTTGGAATGTAAAACAGTGTTTGGGTGATTCCAGGGTTGAAAAGTCAATGAACTCTCCTGTTCACCACCTTGCTTCATATAATATGTTAATCATGAGCTTACTTTAATCTCAAATAAAGGATGTAAATTACAGGTGTCTTTACACTGCAACACACTGTTCATTAGAGAAGAAAAATAAGAAAGACAGATCCCTAGACTTGACTTTGTATCATCCAAAAAGGTCATAATATGCAATAAATGTGGAACATCATTCGTAAAATCTGGCCGAGAGTAATTTCTGTCCCTGCTGAAGAACAGAGTAAACACACAGACTCATGCAAAATTAATCCTTAGTACTGGAGAAGAGAAAGTATTTATTCAGAGGTATCTTTCAATAATGATTTATGAAACAGGCCATCAGAGGCACCTGCTTGGAAGGGAGGTATGAGAATGCCAGCTGAGCAGAGTCAGGTCTCTGCCCTTCCCAACCTGCCCTTTTGTGCTGTCGGAGTCTGCAGAGCCCCCAGGGACACCCCATCCCAGAGTTACTCCTTGGGATGTGCAGGTCTGTTTGTGTGCCTGAAGCCACGTGGTTGGGAAGTGACTGTCCTGTGCTCTGTCCATGCTTTTTGAGAGGCCAAAGAACTGCTCAGAAAAGTGTAAAGGGAAGTGGGAGCATGTGGAAATCAGTTGGCTGGCAAGGCACGGGTTTAACCACGAGTAGGAACAGTTCAGGAGCAGAAGGGCAAGTCTGCAGCAAAAGCACTCTGTTTTAGTCTTCCACACTGAGGACCTGCCCACCATGCTGGGAAGTTTGGAAAAGCTTTTTTTGGATGGACTTTCCAAGAAGTGGAAGGGAAGGCAGAGAACTAGGCAAGCCTGCCAACTCCTCCAGACACATGTGGCCTTCTCTAGGTGTCCTCAGGCTCTCAGAGTGTCCCCTTCGTGTCCCCTTCTCATCCTGGCAGCAGCCACGGGCCCCAAACCCCTGCTCTGGATCAGCTATGCACAAACTGGGAGCTCCAAGTTCCCTGTCCTTTCTGTGGATCCTTGACCACACTGGAATTCAGTAGCTATTTGTTCCAGTGGCTTTTCTGTGATCACCTGCACTGTCATGCTTTGGGGAACTGAGGCTGGAATGAGGGGCATAGAACATTTTAAATATTAATTAATTAATTCTAACACATTCAGCCTCCACAGTGCAGAATCCAAAGACTCCAGGATATGCCAACTGTGCAGTGAGAAAACAAGCCATTACTTCAACAGGAACTATTGAGGTGCAACATTATTTTGTCACTTGGCATTAAATATTGATAATCCTGACATCTTACATCCCTTTATTTAGGATGTACTGAAATTATTTTCAGTTTTATTGCTGTATAGCTTAAAAAAACTTTATAGCTATTGGTGAGCTCTACTCAAGTTCACACTTATCTCCCATGAAAGCACTTGGTCCATCATTCCTTTGGACAGCTGACCTGCCTGGACATGGAGTCAGCATGGAAATTTGATAGGGAGCAGTCTGAATGAGAATTCTGCAGGGCTAGAAATGCAGAATTTTAAGACTTCAGGTTTATATCTATAAAGTTAAAGACCATGGCTACCCTGCAGGCTGGTGATTCAAGACATTTAAGCTCTTCAGTTAAGAGTTTGCTCTTACAAGCTCTTTGCTGCACACCCAGAACATAATGAAGCCAAAAACTGCTTGGGATGACAGAAACAGTTCCAGGCAGCGCAGCCCAGATGTGTGACTTTTTTACAACTCAGCTCTGGGAGTAGCAGCAAAGCTGAATGAAACACATTTGGACCTTACCAAAAAAATGCAGCTCTCTTTTCAAGTCAGATATTTTGAAGGCCAGGCCTTTGGTCCCAGTTGCTCTCAGCAGTATTGTTCCAATGGACACAATAGACATAAGAAATCCCACGTTCCCGTTTCCATTATTGCTCTGCCAAGTGACTCGAGGGAGTCACAGAGGCCACCACCCTGCACAGTGTCCAGCCAGGCTGGGGGTTTGCACCCTCACTTTAAAATCTGCAGGGTGCTGACATGGAGCTGCTTTAGGAAGCAACTTCCAGGTGTGGATTTTCACACTGATCCATCTTGTGTTATTCACTTAGGACAAGATTCCTCCCCGAGTGACTGAGGTTTGCACAACTAAACATCTCAGAAAGGCACCTGCTTGGAATTTGCTGAGAGTTCATCCTCTGAAAATCATTTCTTCACAACCAGGAGTATCTGAAACCTCTCACCTCGTGCTGTAATCACCAGGATGATGGAACTGGCTTGTGCAACCCATGCTTTGGCCACCCATGCTCACAAAGCTACACTAAACCAGGAAAAGGCCACTCAATGAGACAAGAAGAAGGAAACAATTGTATTGTTTTTTCCCTCTTGTGGCAAACAGGCTCTCTCAGGGTCCTCGACAGCCCCACAGGGATGAGGGTTCACACACTTGAGGGTTTGCACCTCAATGTTAGGTGCAAAATGGAACACTTTATTAATGTGGCTCCTGCCTTTTATGCTTTTAAATTATGTCAGTCAGCTGACATAACTGCTTAGCTATAAATTGGCATGGTAAAATAAGGAAACTTCTTAATTCTTCCACTGAAAGCTTTTTGGAATTGGTAATGCAACACTAGGCCTATTCTTTAAAATTCAAGGATATCCTATGCTTTCAACTTGACTGTAACCCTTCACAGTTTTAAACTGTGTACTTTTAAACTGTTAACTTCATCAATGAAAAACTTTTGATTACAAACAATTCAACAACTTGTGATCCAGGATTACCTCAACAATTTAACCTTGAATAGCAAAACTTTCAACTGCAATGAACTTTTAAACCATAAGCAATTTAACAACCTGGGGAAATTTGCTGGCATAACTTTTCAACTGTGATCTGAGGTACCAAAGTAAAGAAAATAGAGATTAGTCATTATTTCAAGAAGAAATAATGACAAGGGGAGGAGTATATCTATGCTCCAATGTCAAAGGCATAAAATAGGGGTACAATGAAAGAGAATAAACACATTTTCTCAAAAACTGGATCCCAATACACTCTAGTAACACAGGGAGAGAAGGCATTTGCTTGATTTCTGCAAATATAACCCAAAGAAAGAAAATTAACTGTATTTACTTGGACATAAGATAACAGGAGGAGGGATGCTGTTGCTGGCTCATTCTAAGGTACACAAACCTAAATATAAAGCACTCTTGTCATCTTTGTCATCTGCTCCTTTTGCTTGTTCTCCCCCCACCCTTGAATTGTGTGAGGAAATAACTGGACCTTGAACACAAGGTGACCTTGTATTTAAGCTCTTTTTTTTTTCCCCAAAAGAGACAAAAAGCAGAGGAAACCTAATACTCACATTCTATTTGTGTATAATCTAAACTAAAAGACAGCTTTGGCACAGTAATATATGTGAACAAACCAGCCACTAATAACTCCAGTCTGGAAATTGAAGAAGGTTTCTAACAGAGTGGGAAAAACCTGGTTTCAGAACAGTGCTTAATTAACAGTTTGTGATAGACTTTTGCTGAACTTGATCCTTCTGGTCCCTCTTATGAAAACAAGAGGCTTATTTCTCATTATTCATGCAGGTATTTTTCTACAGAGGTGACAGTGAACCAGAACATCAGCTCTAAATTTCCTTGAACTTTGAGAAGTTTGGATTCTGACTCATACTCACCAGCTGGAGATCAGTTGAAGACATAAGGCTGTATTTACACATATGCAGAGGAAATAAAGCAATTTTGAAGGCTTTAAGGAGAAAAGTAACACAAGTTCCCTCACGTGAGTCTCACTTGGGAGAGTGCTGTCTGAGGATGGGCACTGGGTTTTGCTTGCATAACTCTCAGACAGAAACAAAACTTGCCACATGTTTTGCTGAGTTCTATTGTCTCTTCCTCCCTTTATAAGAAAATTAAAGCCCATTTCTCTCCTAGTTCCATGAAATCTATCTGGATCCTGGTAACATGTCTCTGAGAATTT